ACCCTAAATGTCACACATCCTGGTACTTTCTAACCCTAAAGGTCACACATCCTGTTACATTCTAACCCTAAATGTCACATCCTGGTACTTTCTAACCCTAAATGACACACATCCTGGTACTTTCCAACCCTAAATGTCACACATCCTGGTACTTTCTAACCCAAATGTCACACATCCTGGTACTTTCTAACCCTAAAGGTTACACATTCTGGCACTTTCTAACCTAAATGTCACACATCCTGGTACTTTTTAACCTAAGTGTCACACATCCTGGTACTTTTTAACCTAAGTGTCACACATCCTGGTACTTTCTAACCCTAAATGTCACACATCCTGGTACTTTCTAACCCTAAAGGTCACACATCTTGGCACTTTCTAACCTAAATGTCACACATCCTGGTACTTTCTAACCCTAAATGTCACACATCCTGGTACTTTCTAACCCTAAAGGTCACACATCCTGGTACTTTCTAACCTTGAATGTCACACATCCTGCTACTTTCTAACCTAAATGTCACACATCCTGGTACTTTCTAACCCTAAAGGTCACACATCCTGGTACTTTCTAACCTTGAATGTCACACATCCTGGTACTTTCTAACCTAAATGTCACACATGCTGGTACTTTCTAACCCTAAATGTCACTTATCCTGGTACTTTCTAACCTTGAATGTCACACATCCTGGTACTTTCTAACCCTAAATGTCACACATCCTGGTACTTTCTAACCTTAAATGTCACACATCCTGGTACTTTCTAACCTTAAATGTCACACATCCTGGTACTTTCTAACCCTAAATATCACATCCTGGTACTTTCTAACCCTAAAGGTCACACATCCTGTTACATTCTAACCCTAAAGGTCACACATCCTGGTACTTTCTAACCTAAATGTCACACATCCTGGTACTTTCTAACCTTAAATGTCACACATCCTGGTACTTTCTAACCTAAATTGTCACACATCCTGGTACTTTCTAACCTAAATGTCACACATCTTGGTACTTTCTAACCTTAAATGTCACACATCCTGGTACTTTCTAACCTTAAATGTCACACATCCTGGTACTTTCTGAACTAAATGTCACACATCCTGGTACTTTCTAACCAAAATATTTTGGTCATCCTCAATGGTCAGTTACATAATCACACACTGACAGTGAATTTACTAATTCATAATGTCAACCTGTAAAAATGTCCATTGCAAGTATATATACATACATGATTTTAATATAATATATTCTTACCACTAAGAGACTGTCTGATTTTGTAATGTCTAAATCCTGCAAAAAATAAATATAAGTGTATACTGAATTGAAAAGGTTAGATAGTTTGCTGGTGTGTACACAATATAACGCACAATCTCACTAGTTGAATTTAGGCTAATTTCAAGAAATGTTTTATTTTTGGGGATTTATTTTTTTATCAGTAACCGGGTATGACTGATGACAATGCCAAGTTTGAATGAAACCGATCAAGGCATGTCCGAGAAACGGTTGATGACATGTCCAAATGTTTATTTTGGTGTTTTGTGGGATAAAAATGGCTGCCAGTCGGTCAAATATCAACCAAATAAAAAATAAATCGATGTGCACATATCTTCCATTATGACTTGTCTTTGTATCAGCTTTGAAGAAAATCTGTCCAGGCGTCTCTGAGAAATGACGACAGACGCAGGAAGGCACAAACAAACGCACGGACAAAACCCAAAACATAAGTCCCTGTTTCGGACTACTTCGGACTATTTTACCAAAAATGACAACAAATTTGCCGAAAATTGAAGATATCATCAAGAAATGAACAAACCTGACAGAGAGCAATCCACCCTAGGTACCTACATACCAAGTATGAAAGCAATTGAGCTTGTACTGTGAAGGGGTTAATTATTCACTGGGTTTTAATTCAGCTTATTTCGCAGACTGGAAAATGTGCTAAATTAAAACCCAGTCAATATGTAAAATTTAGCATAGAACACATTATCTAAATGATAAAACCGTGAATTTAAAACCCACTGAATATGCCTGGAATGGTAAATCAGCGAAATTTAAACCCAGCAAAAATTAGTCATCTTACAGTATATTAAAAAGAAAAGTTCAAAATTAAATCATTCAATTTCTGCAGCAACGTTTGATCAGTGTTTTTCACAAATTATGTGAGATCTCATAGGAAAGGGAAAATCCCCTTTTGTCTACTTTGCTAACTACTATATTTACAAGATAACATTATTAAAATTAATTGAGGTTTTTCTAACTCCTGTAGCAAACTGAAAACAAATATCCAACTTAGATTTGTTTGAATTGAATGAAATCCTGAAAAATTCATATTCAAATCACAGTAATTTGAATAATTAACCCCTTTACAGTAGTTCAAAGTCAAAATGCCTATCTAACAGACGAGAGTAGGGCATTCAGATACCCTAACTTCATCAAAATTAAACATCATCAAATGTGTACAGCATGTTATAGTGTGGAAATACCAGAAATTGTTTTGTGTTTGTTGTATTGCCACTATGTTGCCATGATCTTTGTTTGATTTCATGCGTAACACAATATCTGTCTGTTACAAGTACAATTATTTAGATTATTCATTGATAAATGGGGCATTGCCTGAAAAATATGGTTACGGGTATACATGTATTAAGGTAGAGATGCAGTTTACCTGACAGGTATTTTAATTAGTTAATTAGAAAACCAAGATGACCTCCCTTGTCCACAAAACTATATATTTTCGGAAAGCTTATTGTATGAATTTTAAAG